AAAATCCAGCGGCGACATGCGCGACATCGCAAATACGACGTGAATTCGTTGCGGGAATTAAGGGAGCGACGAACTCCAAATTGGCGACGCTGTCGTACAATGAACGCGGTCGCGCGATGTCGCACGAAAATCGCGGGAAATAATTACCGCTCGAGGGTTGACCGCGGCTGCGAACGAAGCGAGGAGAATGCGCTTGATTTCGCGCGTGAAATCATCGTCCCCGATGATTCGTTCCGCGGTATCGGAAATATCGTAATAATTAATTCGCGCGGCGTCGCACGGCCGTCGTGTCGCGTTTAAGCTCATCGAAAAGCATTCCGCCGTTTAAATGATGCAAACCGTGTGAGAGGACGACAGAATTCGGGCAGAAATTGCGAAAGGATGTCAGGTCGTTCCCCGTCGTTTTCTGGCACACTCCGCTGCACTTTGACACACTTTACCGCGCACCACGTTGTTCACCCTCGAACTACGTATTTTATTCCGCTTCTTACTTCGACGACCGTCCCCGCTTCGCTCGATCTACGTCAGAAAGCCTATTAATTAAATTGCAGGGGGGAGGGGAGCGTAAAGGACGGACGGGCAAAAAGTAACATGTCGCTCGTCGCCGGATTCGATGCTGGATCGCGCCGTTTCCCACCGTCATCGGCATAATCGCGCAGGAAGACGCACACTTACGTGCACACATTTTTTTCGACGACACCCCGGTGTATCCCCGGTGATGGCTCGTCTGATGCTCGTCGTCGGCCGCGGCATCGTCCCGACGGAGAGATTTTCGTGAGATTTACAGCTTTTTGAATTTATCCCCATTTCCCGGCGTCCCGCGGAGAATGTCTCTTTTATCATTTCACTCAGAGCAAGACTTTCCGTGTGTGTGATATTTGATACACGCTTATTCAAATACCCTCCCCCGTGCACGATCGGAAAAATATGTCGGCGCTATTCTTGCGTTAAAAGAGCGATTGAATATACATACGAATAAATAAGCCCTCTTCTGCGTACGTGGATGTATGCGTGCACGCGTTACCCTCTGATCGATTCTCATTCGAAGAAATATCGTCATCAATCGCGTCACACGTTATTACCGCGTTGACGATTCGCATCGATCCTTTATTTGTACGTATTCAGAGTTTTGAGCGGTAACTCGGGGGCCGTGCCCAGCTATATCCTCATCCCGTTTATCTCCCCGATATTTATACAGACGAATCCGATATTCGTTCCCCTACTTTTATCCTTTCACATAAAAGACGACGTGAAAGGGACGTTTTAGTTAAAACCGAAAAGAATCATCGGCATTGCAGTGAATGATTCCGGCAGTAACTTTTTATAATTTTTTATAATTCAATTGAAAAAATAATTTAATACAACCAACTTTATAAAGTTCTTAAATATCCAAGCGAAGGTAAATAAAAGGGCCGATGAGAGCCTGGACGCAGTTTATATTTTTTTAGGCTCTCTAAAAATGCATTTAAATTCTCTCCGACTCTTTTTACATTCTTGGATCGATAATACAATATCTTATTACATATTACTCTCTTTCTCTCTCTCTCTCTCTCTTTCTTTTTCTCTCCCTTTCTTTCTATATATACATATATATATATTTTTTTTTGTATATCTCGACGAAAGAACCGTTTTATTTTTTGTGTAGTTTCTCGACTTGTTTGTAATCGCAGTATATCCATATCGAGATCGAATTTCCTTCGCGCGAGACATTCTCGAGGAACGTTAATGAGATCCTTTGTCATTCTTATTGTCGTCTCATGCTCCTCAGAGGGTCGACATACATATTCGCATTCCCCTGTCGTCGGATACGTCCGATGGACCCCCCGGCATCCTTTTTCATCTCAATTTCGAAGATCGTTCATCGTCGTGGACAAAGCGCTGGCGTAAGCTAACTTCCCTTATTGTCCGACCGCAGATCGAGTGCCGCTACTTGCCGTAAGTAGAACCATCCGTTCGTGATCAGGCGCGACCGACGGCCAAGGAGATACGACGTGTATATTTGCACCGTCAACTTCATTCGCCCGTTTTTCCCGACCTTTTTGTATTTATCTCTGTCCTGCTAATTCCATTCCTCTTCTATTTCCTCCCCAACGTTACGCCCATTTCTATTTTATTAGAAAATCATTCCCTTCTGTAGGCACAGACGTAGGTAACGGTGAGCCGTTTTCGCGACGCAATTTTGAAAACACGTCACTTTTGTACGGTAGCATAAAAACCTCGCGATACGGCAATAATAACAATATTAACGGTGAAAATATTAATCGCTAAGCGAGCTCGCGGTTTTAAAAAGAGGACGAAACAAACCGTGTTTGCCGGTAAGTTGAGACGATTAATGGGAAGATGGATGATAACATTAGACGCGCGATATCGCCGCGCATCTTCCACGTCACTTGTGCTTTCAGCCGTCGCGATGTAGTCGTAATTAAAGGCAACACATGGCGCATCCAGCAGTCTAGCGCCGGTGTCTCACTTTTCCCGATATGTCGGACACAGCAAGCGCGATTCGATAATCGGCCAAGTTTTGACCCACCGTCGAGGCTTCATTGCCCTCCTCGTGCGGCCGATGACTATGTTTGTAATTAGGATCGTTCGAAACTACGTGAACTGTCCAATGGCGCACGGCGGATGTTATCCAGACATACATAGCGGGCCGCACAATGGATATTTAATCTCAGCCTCCCATCGAGACCGAAGTGAAATGATCGATCGTTCGCTCGTTGCTTTTCACCGAGCGACCGTGGGTTCTCCGCTATGCGCATCTTAATTCGGCGAGGACGTCGCGCGATTAAAAAATATCCCAGCCGAGTGTTTTACGGCGCGTCATCGCGCGCCGTATCTCTTCGTTTGTACGAAACGGGATGCGACTGCCGTTCTTTCGTTCGTAATAACGTTGAAACTTTCCGCGCGTGTGGAGAATGGCGCGATATCGGACGCGCTACGTCATCATTTCGCTCCCGCGATAAACTAATTGTTAAAATAGCGTGCATCGTCAAATGCGCGCGAGCAATGTTACACGCAACGAGAGTGCTTCTTGTCTCGTGACTTTGAAAAACTAACTTACCGCAAACGTGGCTCGAATATTAATATTATTACGATCAACGTCACGCGGTGGTACGCGCGTGTATAAAGGCCTCGCGAAATGGATGGGAATATTATTTACCCGTGCAAGGCGTAATTATATATCAAACGCTGTGTTTGTAACTGAGTTAATTAAACGAGACACCGCGCTCGTGTGCGCTCGTCGTGTTATCGCAAACAGTCACGCCTTAACAATACCATTATGCGCGTGCGTCCGAGTAAAAAAAAGAAAAGTGCCGACGCGCGTGAATTGACGGGCGGAATACCGAACGCGAGGGGGCGACTCGCGCTTGATGCACGCCGCTATTAATATTAATTACATCAAGACAACGTTAATCATCTCATCGCATCGCGCGGGAAATTAGATCGCGTCCTTTCGCAATGATCGAGGGATTTTCATTAAAAGCAAAGCACGCGTCAAGACGCGCCCCGGAGCGCAGTGGGACTGATTCGATAAACATCATCGGCGACGAGGCAACCTCGACGTATCTTATCGTAATCACCTCTCGACTCCTCCGAGCAGTGACACCGTGGCCGAGAGCGAAACGAGAGCGACAGTGGACAGCGGAGGTGAAAGAAACGAGACGAGGATCAAGCCGGACCCTCGCGGGACGAACGAGCAATAAAACTAAGGTGTGACCGATCTCATCAACGTGATGAACCCGCTCTCGTGAAGCTCAACTCGTCGTTTACTTCGCGATTAACATCGTTACGCAGCATCGAGATAATGAGACGTTATTAGTCGAACTCCTCCGAATCCGAGCGAAATACGGGACTCCTGAGCCTCGGTACAATCAGGAAATACATTTTCGCGCAACCGACGGCCCGCTTCCGAGTCACCCCGTTACTACCTTCGTCATCGTAATCATCGGAGGCATCGCGGGGAAATTCCTCGAGCGAACGTTGATCCGATCAAACGATCGGCGGCAAAGCCGGGACGGCGCGAGGAATCAGTCCAAACAGTCCCGCAGGACGAGCCGCCGACAGGACTGGCGAGAGCAGACGTGGACCGGCATGTTCCGGTAGCGGAGGCTGCACGGAAAAATCGATAGTCGGCGCTCGCCGGCAGCAGCAACGGCGACGGCGTCGTCGCCGCCGCCGCCGTCGACGCCGCCACCACCGCCTCCTCCGCCGCTTCCTCCACCGCTTCCTCCGCCGCCGCCGCCGCCGCCACCACCACCACCACCGTCGCCTATGTCGAGCAGCGCGATGGAGTCTGCCCGATGGCGCAGTCAACGTCGGGACCGGCACCCCAAAAGACCCACGCGGTTAAACGCACGTTCGACAAAACCACCCCTACTGACTGCCTCCCTCTCCCCCTCCCCCATCGAGATGTCGCATCCCCGATAAATAGTCCGGGCCGCACGTTTCTCTCCGCTCGCGCGTGCTAGCGGACGAGTCCGCGAAAATCCGCCGTTAGCGCTACTATTTACGGAAGTGCGTGCAGTGTGGGTGCCTGTGTCTGTCTGCCTACCTGCCTGCTCGTCCGTCTACCTGTCTGTCTGTGTGTGCGTGCGCGTTGCCGGCACGTTGACACCTTCCTCGCCCGCCCGCCGGGTACGACGGGAGCCGCGAGAAAAGTCGTGCTGAGAGACGCTGCGGCGCCGAAGGGGAAGAGGGACGTCGCCGAGCCGTCTCGTAATTCTCAGCCGGTGCGGGAGAGCTGCCCGAGGACGCTCTCCTCCGCCGGGTGATCCTGCGACGCGCGTCCGTTGTTAACGTCCTTCGGACGGCATCGACGAGTCCCTCGGTAGATTCCGAAAGGGGTGCTCCGAGCGGCCGTTCCGTACGGGCGACGTGTGTCGCAAGGCGAAGAGGATCCCCTGCGTACTACGACTCGCGCCTCGAGAGCGTAAGTGCGTGCGTGCGTGCGCGAGTGCGTTCGTCCGCGAGGATCATCGCCGGGCGCAGAGCCGTTCGCCACGGGAACCGTTTGCCCGATTTCAATTTTTCTTCCGACCGCACGTCCTCCGTGTCGAAGTGTCCTTCGACGCTGTTGCCGACGAGGAGGTATACGCAATAAGGGGGGGGAGAGAGAGAGAGAGAGAGATAATTCTGTAAGACTTGTGAAGGAATTTTTTTTAGCAGATGTGTGCTCGTGCGTTTTACAACATACCTGCCGAGCAGGATAGTCGTGCGAAAGGATATTTCTCGATTTGTTTTCCGCTGAAAATCGAAGCCTCGGGTTTTCTGTTTGGGCGGCGGCAGCGCGACGGCGGAGGCGGGGTATCTTGTTTTTGCGTACGAACCGGTTTTGTACGCGAGGAGGTGGGCACGCGATCATTATTTTCAGTCCTTTGTTCGAGTTTTCGTACGTCCGGGTTCCTTCTCCGATGGGTACGTAAGCTTGCGGGATCTTCGCCACGACCCGTGCGATACGCGCCTTTGCGAGTACATTGACCTCAGCTTCCGCGTCTGTCTGGCTAGTTTATCTGTTTTCCCTCGCGCTCAAACGTCCTCGGTGCATCGAATATCGATAGAGCACATGCCGCGGATGCAAATACGCGAAATACTTTCGACGCTGGTATTTCGGGCGCAAATTTCACAGCGCATTTTGATGCGAGGTCCGCCCACCTGTCAATTTGCTCCCCTGTCGACTATTGCGACTTAACGCCTGCTCTATTATCACCGTCATCGTCGTCATCGTATCTCCGAGCCTTTAAAATAGTTGCCGTCGAAATGTCGGGATTTCGTCGGAGTTCGATGAGTGCGCCATTAAGCACCGACTGATTAATCGGTCGGGCATTAAATTAGGATATACAGTGCGATACCAATTTAACAACATGCCATTTATCGTAATCAACGGTCGCAGCTTCTTCCAGTCGATGTATCTCCGTTAGTTGTTAACCGTTGGCGGATTGATACCGTTCGCCCCGCAATTTCCGAATTAAGGTTGTTATTTCCCGATTAAGTTGACCCGGTAACACGAATACTGCGCCCATACTTTTTACGTCCCTTTCCACTTCGAGTCACTCCGTGTGAATTAATTGTAGCACATAGGATTTTTCATTTGCGACGCTTTGAATTTCGTGGGCGCACACGTACGCACGTGTTGGACGAGGCCGCGCAATTAAATTTTAACTTTCCATTTGTGTGTTTAACTAACATTAAACCATGCGGAATGAAATAGCGGCGACTCGCCATAGTGAACGAAGTTACCGGCCTGCGAACGTAACGCCAAGCGTGAATCGAATATTTAGAAATACGCGTGGCCAAAAATTCTTGCACACTCGACGAACAGCCGGTGACTTCGCGAAACGCTGAATTCTTGAGGAATGATCCGATCTCGAGACTCGGAACGACATCGTTCGTTTACATAATGTCGTCGAACGAAGCGTCGCTCACCACCGCGATGACACATCGCAATCGTGACGCATCGCGTAGAAATAAATGACCCGCGACTTTTTCCTCTTCCTCTTGGCCTTCTCCTTTCCACGTCCTTTCCCATCTCTAGAGTGGCTCGACAGTTTCCGAGCCTACTCCGCACGGGGCAACCGCACACTCACCTATGTAAGAAGCCCGGGTTAAAGACATTACGAGCTCTGGAAGCCGCGTAATTATTGCGCGACCGTCGTTACAGTCTCGCCGACACTAATCTCCACGCGACCCACTTGGATATGTACGAATATTAATTTCGCTTCTCATCTCGACCGCTTATTTTGTTGGTTAAATGAAGATCTGGGCCCGTGGGCGCGCGTTTCCCGATAAATGAGTTCGGTCAGGTGCGTTATGAACCAGTGGGTTGAACGCGGACACCGAGTCGATTGAAAAATATTCCTTTAGATCGTTGAACTCCGTCCGACGAAAAATATTTTTATCGCTGCTAATTTTGTATAGGAAGAACGGGGTGGAAAATTAATAACGAAAAGAGGCTCGGAGTTTATTGTAAATTATCAATGTAAACGGAGATTCACCGGCTGTGTAGAATATTTCTCGTACTTGAGAAACGTAAATCTTGTTAAATGTCTATTGAAGTCGTACAAATCTCTCTCTCTCTCTCTCTCTCTTGCTCCCTTTTATCTTCAGTAAAGCGACAATAGGCGACGTTTGCCAAGATACCTTCAAGTGGTCGTTGCCGTTTTTACCGTCACGTACCTGTCGTTGCTCAGCATCGCAAATTTTCGAGGATCATCGAAGAGTTGCCGGTCGTTAATCGCGCCGGTAATTTATTCCCTCCTCCCAAATCTAATTATTCGTTTGACTCTGCACTAACAGAAGTGTCTAAATCAAATTAATTAATCTCCATTTTAATTGTTTAATTCGTCCCGACGAATGCAAATTGTTCGATCAAAGCGGGCCGCTCCCTAAGTTGCACGCAACACCTCTCTCATTAAGCGACAACAGCGCGCCGCAAATAATAATGAAATTGTTTTCATTAAAACGCATAAAATTTCGCGGAAAATCACGGTTTCAGCACGATTTCTGAAATTGTTTCGGTGAGCGCACTTCCGCGGTTTGTCGCTTCCGGTCACGTCGCCGAAATAAATTTCATCACCGCCGAATTCGCGTTGCATCCTTTTTCCCGCGGCCATCTCGACGATCGAACGAACCGCTTCGGCTGCTTTGTGGCAATTTCGCCCGGTCCGCGAAAATAAAAATTGCTCGACGTTTTTCGGCGAGAGGTACGACGAAAGCGGTGAGCGTACCAACCGCGTCCAAAGTGGTCCGTCACCGTTGTGCCGCGTAATTTTACTCGATAGTGAAAATGTCGGTCACGTGCTGTTGTCCATCGATTTCGCAAAAACCACCCGCGTCGCTTTCCTTCAAAGATTCTTTGTAGGAGCTCCCGTTTTTCGAGCGTATCGGAAACTGTCATTTCCCAAGCAGAACGTACGAACTTCGTAGGCGGTTGTAGGAAACAAACACGGTTCTACACGTATACCGGCCGAAATAAGATCGTAAGGACATTTTTAAGGCTAACGAAAAGTCGTGGGATTTTTGAGAAGGTAAGATAGGGGAGTAGCAAAACTCGTGCGCGCTTCGTAGGAGCGCCTTTTTCGGCCGCGAACTCACTCGCTGCTTCCTCGTCCTAGGTCGATATTTCGTTATCGGAAAGCAGTAGCCGTCTTGATAAAACGATATTGAGGATATCGGGATAAATTACAAAACAGCAGCACTGAAAAGCGTTACGATGTTCACGACCTTGTTCAATGGCGTCGTCACGTCCCTCGCGCATCTTGAATTCCTCATAAGACTGCGAGGACCGCCATTGTGACCCCTTAAATTTCTATAGATCGCTATCATTCGAACATGAATTCATCGACTCTAGTGAAAAAAATACACCAAATCGAAATATAAAAAATGCCATTCTCAACCAAATCAAGATAATGGTTCCTGCAAATAGACAATACAATGATTCTCGAAAAAGAACAAGAATTAGAACATTACAAAATTTCACGTTCGGAACGAAGGCATCGTTGGCATTGATCTATTTGCAATCGTTAGCCGATGCGAAATTATAATTGTAATTAGAGAGCCAATCCAACAGATTTGATCCTAATGCAAATTTAACTGCGGCTCGGCCATTCACAATTAAAATACACCGCTGTCGCAGCCACCGCGCTACGGAATGATTTAATCGAGACGCACCGGGAAAGTTACGCGCTCGCGTGCTAGAAAGAGAGAGAGAGAGAGAGAGAGAGGCAGTAGTAGACCAAGGGGAAAAAAGCTACAGGATTCGAGAAGCGGGAAGCAAAGTTAAATCCGCGCTGCCTAAACGGCTTTTCGCGATATCTCGGTGGAACGACAGTGTCTCGGCGGAGCAATAAAGACCACCTTTTTGTTTTCCTGTCTTTCACGATGAAGAGAGGACCTACCCTACGTGTAATCCCCGATTCCGCCATACGTATAAAACGTGAAAGGCCGGGGCGAGAGGCCTCGATGCAGGGACGAGAGACGGGGTAAAGTCGTAACAAAAACAATAGGACGATTGAAAAATTTGCAAGTGGAGATTGATACGAAACTTTGCGTAATGCGAGCGGTTCGACGGATTTTGTCAGTTAGGGCGCGACGTAAAAAAATATCGGCGTTTATTAAAAAGGCCGGATATTTTTTCACGGTTTTGACGTGAGCACCCAAGTCGACATTTCAGTTCTACATTAATCCTGCGAAATTTGTCAAACTTGCAGGATCAGCCAAGAATTTCGAAGTATGATATTGTATAGGTTATTATCTCTTGACGTTACAAATGATTATCGCCGTTGAGGCTTTAAGAACGACTTATTTAAGAATTACTTAATTTTTTGGTCTAATTCACACACACACACGCGCGCGCGCACGCGCATGCGAATGATAAGATTTGTTTTTTTAATAATACTCCTTTGAACGCGAGTTTTACATTACTAATACCTTTTTTCACTTCTATTTGGTCTTGCTATTGTCTCAAACTTAAATTCTTATTGATATTTACATTACTGCTATTTTTTAAACCAAGACTTTTTTTTCTTTTTTTCACGTATTTTGAACGTATTTTATATCTAAATTATATAGCAATTTTTAATGACAATAAAATAAAATAAAATAAAAGGATTGTGAATAGAGAAAGTTTGGTATTTTATTCACTCATTAATACCATTATTTATCCATGTTTCTTATTTAATATTTATTTATCTCATATATATAATATACATATAATATTATATTTATAGTTAAATAAATTGTATAATTATTAATAATTACATTGCGTATACTGAAGTTAAGAATAAATATTAAATGCAAATTGAATATCGAGATAATCGAATATTTAATAATTCTTAAATAAATGCTACCTCAAGTCTTAACATGGAGGAAACGATAGCAAGTAAACATCTGTAGCATCAAAGTAGGACAATAGCTTGTATAGGGCTATGTCTCGTGATTCTCTATTGAACTTTCAAATTCGACAGTATTTACAAGATTAATGTAGAACCAAAATTTCGACTTAGGTAAATTGTAAATCTGATGTAAAAGTAAAAATTCACACAACGTGTGTAATCGAGCGGATTTATTGTTTAAAATAAATATAAGTGTATATTATTAATATTTATTGTTAACGAATAGGTAAAGATGCTATAAATTATAAATCTGACGCAATAAAAGTAAAATCAAGGATTCAGGTAATGTGAGCAATCGCTACCCGAGTCGAAATTTCGATGTTACTTTGACGCTCTATAGGCTTGCGCCTACTTAGACGGTCTTTCTAGACTAATAAAAAACTATTTTGATAATACTGACACTCCTTTACTTCTCTTTTGAGAGTTTAATTCTGCAGATTGCATTTTAATGTTATCTTCAACAACCTACACTAAAATGACGAAATTTAAGACATCATTAGGGTCAAAGTAAGGGTATAATTACATTATTAGAATTGAAATTGAATCTGTTTTGCTATTTTCATTCCTATTATATCGTAGACTCAAAGGTTTAACATAAGACTAAAATTTCAACTCGGATAGTTTCAATTATTTCGTCTCGTAGAGCGTGGAGTTGTAGAATTACAGCGGAATGGAACCCCCTTCTCATTTTATTTGGACCTTCACAGAGAGTCATGGAGGGCTCTTTACGACGGTCGTTCAATATGCACAAGCATTGTTTCACGTAAATTCCAGAAGTTGCCGTTTCTCGAAGAAAGAGATCTTAAAAAGGAACGATCTCTCGGCGCGATGCGCAATGAACGTTTTTATTGAAGAAGCGGAAGCGAACGCGAGTGTGCATTTCTAAAGGAAGGAAAAAGGATATTGAGGAAGAAGAAGAAGAGAGGAGGGGGAGTCCGTGTCTGTGCATGTGTGTGTGTGTGTGTGTGTGAGTTTGTGTACAAAAGGAATGTGAAGCGACAACGCCGGATGGATCACCGTCGAATAAACAATTCTATTCGCGCTGCTCTCACGATGCGAGGCAACGCGAATTTTCCCCGGTGAAATGGCGAATCCTTAAACGGAGGTGGGAATATATCGGCGGGATATCGGTGTCGCGCGTCCACAAAGGCTCAGACTACGGATTTCCAAGATGAAGCGCCCTGCGGACTCCGCCGAGGAGACGCGCAAGAACGATCTCGGCCGCGATCGCACGGGGAATCACGTCAGATGGAGGCTTTAAGATACCGCGGATTCGGCGGCGTCGCAAGAACGTCAATCTCTTCCGCTACGGACCTGCACGCTTCCGGGAAATGGACGAGGCTGGATTCCGGAAACGACAGGTGTGGGCGGAACATCCAAGTCGCCAGGTAAGGAATCGACGAACGGTCGTGCGACCGATATACTCCGATTCCGAATTCTTGTCACCGAGTCACAGAGCCTTAATCAGGGAGGCGAATTCTGCCCCCGAAAACCTTTGATATCACGTAACCGTGAGAGCCAGGCGTTTTCACCTTGATCTTCCGGCTCAGTTCCTCGACGAAGAGCACTCTCCCGTGTGTGATTACGGTGACTCCACCATCGTGTATGGATGCGTACGACAATTATGTTTAATTAAAAAATAACACATTTAATTAACGGTGTATTTTAATAGTGTATCGAAGGGCGAGCGAACGAGTGAGCGAGAGAGAGAGAGAGAGAGAGAGAGAGAAGATTACGGTTCTACATGCCGTCATTGTTTTCCGTCACGATGTTTACTATCCACGCAAGTCACTACGTACCGAGAGATGTACGGACAAAGGCGCAGACAAGTTTAGTTTGCTATTTTCGTTTATTTGTAGTCGCGCACGTCTCGTCATAGTTCGAGCGAGTAAAACGAGACAGAAATTAAACTGACCCTTCTCGTGCAATAATATTTCCCCTCCACCCGCTGCACTTCATCTCTGTTTTTTGTTGTTCGGCTTTTTTTCCCGCGGCCGTTTGAAACACGCGGGAAAGCTGTCGAGTGCCTGAAGAACAGCTCGTGTCGGCTCGGGGCAATTTTCCCAGGACGACCGAAAGGAGAGGAGTAACGAACCGCCTTGACCCCGTTGCACTTTTTTTCCCTTTTTCGGCCACACGTCGCAGTTTTCTTTTTTCCCCTCTCGGCTCGTAGGCGTCCGGGAGAGAGAGAGAGAGAGAGAGAGAGAGAGAGATCTGGTTTCCGTCGTTACTCCGTCGTCTCCGTCTCGCGAAAAACTCCGGTCCACCTACCGGGGGACGACGACCCGACCGGCGGTGCATTAAACAGGAGATTTATTTTCGTCTCACCGAGAGAGACATCGTTACCGCGCGCACACGGCGTCGTTTGAGAAAATTTTATTACACCGTGCGACACGACGATGGATCGAAGTATCGTTGAGTCTTTCTTCCTCTCTTTCATATGCTTCCGTATTCTTTCTTTTCTTATTTTTTTTTTCTTTACAGCATGTATAAACACTACGCGTAACACGCAGGGACGGCAACGCGGGCAGAAGAGGGTAAGATTTTCCTGGCTGCGAGTATCGATTCCCGTTGTACGCGTTACAACACGTTGAAGTCGCTCGTTGCGCCACTTTACATAGTTATAAAGCACCCTCCCGTGCCATTCCCCGCCATCGGCTCGATATTCTGTTTTTTTTTCAACTTTCGCGCGCGACCTCGTGACGTTTTTCTCTTCTCTTTTTTTGCGGCCGCGATAGAATCTCGGTAGAGCAATCGCGCGCTTTCCGAGAATTCGATTATCAGTACGCCGAGCGGAGGGTGCAAGTGCCCCTCTCGTTGCCTCTTCAATTTCCAACTGCTTCCACTCCGGCCCGATCGCTCCTCCGGAGAGCTCGCTCCGTTCAAATGAGAGGCGTCGAAACACGAAATAGTTTTCACGTTTTAAAACCGGGGCTTCCTCCGCTACTCCTCCACCTCGATCACGGTCGGCTGTTTTGTTTGCTGAAAGCACGCGGTGTCGCACGATTACGCAATAATTCGGTCGATAATCCGCGATTAAAAATGCAACGCGTTTGACCGGAGAAGAGCGAGGGGGATGAATCGTCGCGAGCGTCACGGCGAGCCTGCGCGCGGAATAGTGTTTATGATAATCCGCTTCGTAAACACTACCATCGCTAATTACAAAATGAATTTCAACGTCTGCAGCTTCGGGAATTCTACCAGTGGCCCCGCCGCGAGGGGAGGAGGGGGGGGGGGGCAGCCGCGACCGTAACACGTCATTAACGAAGAGGCTTGTTTACTTAATAATCGTCAGAGCGCGCCGACAAATATTTTCATCCGGTACTTCCAATCAGGCTAATAGCGTTTCCCCGCGGTGGCGCGTTCTACGTGCTTCCGCGTGCGAAAACGCATCCGCCGCGCGTAACCACGCAGGTGTGGCCAATCTCGTTACCAATTGTTTTCAGCTCGCATTGAGTCACGGCGACGCCTCGAGAGCGCGTCGGCGTTTCTCCCGCTTTTATCCGCCGATCCCGCGATTTCCCGCGAAAACGACGTTACGGGAGAAGTTTCATACCCGCGGCAAGTTTATATCCCAACGTAAACGCGCCGGAGAGACTTTCTATCCATACCCTGAGTAAAGGAAAAAAAAAGGACAGCGGGAAAGGCAGAAAAATGAAAAGGGGCGGGGGTAGGGGAAAGGGGGAAGAGGCGTCGGCGATCGTTTTCGCAAAGCAGATGTAAACATTTTGTGAAATCCCGCGAATAATAAACGCGCGGCGTCCCCGGTGTGTGCCAATACGTGCAGCCAATAATACGCGTTGCCGTCGCCCCTCAGCCGTGGGCACATTTTTACGGGCTGCAAACTGTACGGCAGGATGAAGTTGCGGAATTCGCGCGTGTACCCGACGCTCGCTCGCGTACGGATTTTCCGCGGAACGTGTCGTTGACACGTCCGATAGGAGCACTTCGTCTATTGAGAGCGAATAAAGAGCTCCTAAGCTGCAACTGTCGTTTATGCGTCTCGCCGATCAATTCGAGCGCGTCGTTTCTTTTTGTCCGGCCGCTCCCGCGTTCGTTTATGTCGAAATAATGACAGTTGCATAAATGCGCGGTTGTTTGCTCGCGCGCGCACGTCCGGCTTTTCCTTTTTTCCGTCAGAACGCATCGTCGCTCGGCTCGAGCGGGAAACCCCTTAGTCGCGAATTTCGATTGTCAAATCCCGTCAAATTCCGAATTCGCGGGAGTTCTCAAAGAGAAAGCAATTTAAACGAAGGCGTCGATATTCGCGTGCGCGCGTCCGCTGTATAATTTATTGCCGCGACCCACGTCGCGGCCCGTCCGTGTCCAGTAGACGAGTAACGTCTGCCGGTGATTTCTATTGCGGGTCTTCGCGGAAAAATACTCTGAAATGCATTGCTTTTCCCGCTGCAATAGGAAATCGCGCGTTCCTCTTTCGCGGAAACAATCCGGGACTTTCTTCGTATCGATCAATTAATTTCTTCCCTTTCTGCGTATTGCTCTGCAAACTCTCCCGGCGATCCCGGCGGAGTTGAAACCCTCCTCTTCACAGAGCCGGGCTTAAGCATCGATTTAATAACAGCTGACTTGTGTTTGAGCGATTGCTCAAAAATTACTTCATTAAAGAAGATATTCCAAATATATCTTATTTTCAAGTCTTACATGGAAGAAAAAGTATCAGCTTTCGCAGCTCGAAACTGGATTTCACAGCTAAAAATTAGTTGTCCATATAATACAATTGAAACGTAATTATCAGTTTTGTCTGTTTAAGTATCGGACTTAATCCGACCTGTTTAATGTCGACTTTTTAGCTGTGGGAGCTAATTTTCATGACTCTATTTATACACGGAGAAAAGGAATTAGTTAACCATAGCTAAAAACCCGGTATCCGGATGAAACAACTGAAATTTTGTTACTATAGTTATTATTATCCGGATAGCTAATTTTTAGCTGCGGCAGCTTATTCCTTTCTTCTGTGTTCACAATATAAATCGTGCAAATAGTTATGTAATGCTCGAATATGTGATTTTCCGAGTGTCGAAGTAAGAATTGCAAGGTCGACGGTCGACAGATATGATGAATAACGTGGTTATCTTTCAAATACATTCCTAGCGTGCTCAGACGCACCTAGTTTCGATTATGCCACGTAACCTTCGTGATTGCGAGGCTCCAAGCTGCCACCGGCAGCACGAGCTTGCAGACGAAGCTTGCAACAAAGGGCTGGCTGCGTCATTCCAGCAAGATGCATTGCGAAACGAGCAATCCGCAATAATTCCGTCGCAATAATTTCGCCTGTCTATATGTTTTTCGATAAAAAAAAAAAACTTCCGCTTGCTCTACGCTTCCCGCGTCTTTTTATCTCCGTTTAATCTCAATTCCCGTATCGACATTCGCAATTTCCGTCCGTCAACGACACACAATGCCCCGCAAATTTGCAACGAAATTGAATTAGTTCGCATATCGAAGCGGCGTGTACTTAAAATCCGGTTGCGCATTGAAACACCCGAGCCGCATAATGAAACCGCGGCACTGATAATTGACATCTTCGTTAACATCAGTTCCATCGCGAGAGGACCGTAAAACGATCGAGATAAGAATTACGGTCGCGGTACGACGTTTACTTATTTAACTTCGACGCGAAATTCGTCGTAAAATCTAGAAAAGACGTCACCATCGTTACTCCTCGGTAAATTCGGTTACGTTGTTTGCGTAACGATGACGGGCGAAGTGTGCAACTAAAATTCGGCGACAATCTCACTTCTTCGCAGGATTTACGTTTCAATGACCGAGTAACTTGCTCTTCTAGTTCGTCAGGTATCTCCGCGCGCTCGGTTAACGCTTCAACGAAGTTCACGATTAGTACGACGGTTAATGCGATTTTCGCCTACGTAAGCGAGAGAGACAATCGTTTCAAACGAAATGACTCTCGTCGTCGTACGGCGAGATGCTCTTTTTCTCTCGAAGGGCGATCGAAAATTGCATACGAGTCGAGAGACACGCTGACGACGATCGATACGACGGAGGAAGAGTTCGCGAACGAGCGTGCGAGAGCAGGACGAATAGTATTAAATGCGCGCGTTTATAATAGCGCAGACGCGCTATCTCGCAGACGAACTTTGGGACGCGTCGAGATAGTTTACGAGAGTATGTTCGACGATACACCTGCGAGAAACTGATATCTTACCGCGAGTACTTTACGGCAGACTTACGCGTACTTAAAGGAAGACGCACGGCTAAGAGGCGTCTGCGATCTTCCGCACTTTTAGTTCTTATTTATTTATAAATTATGCCGGCGAAGAGAGAAAGAGACAAGAGGATCGATGGATGGATAGATCAGTTTATTCATACTCCGGGGCTAAGCCCTTCAGAGCGTTACAGGAAGGAAAAG